ACCATATATTATATCAATATTGTCCTTATCAGACATGCTGAAGAGCACACAAACAGGCCATGTAGATGGTCTCATGTCCATTAACATGCATGATGTAGATCCTGTTGCAAGCTACCATCTGACCCAAGCAGGTTTGTCTACCAAAGGAACTTCTGATTCTTTGCAGAGCCAATTTGATATGAACTGGCATTGTAATTAATTTGACAAACAGAAGACTAGGACAAACACCCTTCTTCCAAGGTCCAAACAAGACATGAACCCATCTGCCACTATGAAAATACCTGTATGAATTATAAAGAACGGTATTTGCACTTGAATACTGAAAGTTGGTGTGGACTGGTAGAAGAGCTAGAATTCCAGCTGACTGACTTAGGACTGCATTTAGTTACAGATGATTTTTAGCAACCGTGATTGAAATTCAAGGCAGAGGTCTGTTAAAATATATAAACACCAAACTGTCTTCTAATTTGCTATAGTTTCAATTATAGCATTATATATTGCAGTGATTATCTGGTTTGCTGCCAGATGATGACTTATAACACAACTGAAAAAAAAATTAAGTCATTTTACTGTCCACTATCCAATAATGAGGTAGTAGAAAAAGAACGATTAAAAGTCTAATAATTACTAAAGACACAAAACATTAGAAAACAAAATAGAGTTAATATATTAAATACACAGCACAGCATAACATATCCAAGCAACAAAAAGCATGGGAAAAGAGAAGCTTCTTTCTTGTAAATCGGCAAAATCAAAAAATATCAGGTTAAACTCGATGCCAAGGTAAGACATTGCAAAACAGGCCCCCATCCATCCCTTTCACAAACCTAGAGAAGTTTCTAACATTTAAAACTCTTCAGAGCAAATGAGGTATAGCTTCCCTTTTTAACATAATGAAGGAAATGAAGAAAGTAGTGAGAGCTTCCTATGGTGTCTCTACTTATATATATCCGAAGAAGAGAGGACAGAAGTTCAACACAGTGAATAGAATGGGTAGAATAAGAAATCTTGTGGAAATAAGATCCTCCTGTACAAAGATCCTATACCATGGTTTGTACAACATTTCAGAAATACCATTTCTGGAAGAAGGTAAATAAACATACTGGTAATATTTTGCTATCGGTCTAATCTTCCCTTGAGCCACTCTGATGCTTTGTATAGCATTCCATCAAAAATGTAATTTTAATTCACCAGCTGCAATTACATACGATTGATTAATTAGAATATGCTGTAAAAAAAAAAAGGAAAAGATTATGCTGCACTTGAAAAAAAAAAAAAATTGTGAGTTTGGCTTTAAAGTAATTTTGATTGCTGAAATTGTGCTATTAAGCAATGTTTATATGACATTTTTTTCTCTAAAAGGAACAAAAACTACCAAGCTTAATAATATATAATTTATTCTAGCCATTACATAAATGGGAAAACATCTCACAATAATCTGAAACCCCTTTAAAAGTATTCAGTGCAATGTGATGCAATGTCAGGATAGCATGACCAATCTTACAGAACTGATCTTCAAGAACACAGCATGTTTGTAGTTCAAAGCAGCCCCTATAGTAACAACACTAAATATTTTTCATATTTCATTCTTTATTATTTAAGCAAAATTCTTCATATTGTTTTACCCAGTCTAAAGGCCAGCCTTAACTTTGTTGCTATGAAATTCAAGTTCTTTGTCATTTCTTACTATCAATACCAAATAAAAAAAAAGGTGAAAAATACTACATGTATGTAAGATTTGACAAATAAAATATATAACTGAGTCTGGAAAGGTGGATGGCTTTGTCACATTCAGCAATCTGTCCAAGTTCCAGGCATAAGCACATTGAAAATACTCTGTTAAAATGATGGAAAGCAGAAAGACAGTATTTCATTAATACCCTGCAAAGCTTTCTGAATCCCCACTCCTCCATTAATTTCATTTTCCAGGGCTTTAAAAAAGCCTTGCTTCAGTTTTATTTCAAAATAGCCAAAAAGAGAGGTTTGGTGTTGAAATAATAGTTATTACCTGCTTTGATTATTGTTAACTCATGGGAAAAAGCTTGATTCAGAAAATGTTTTAGACAGCTAATACCATTTTCAGTATCTCAGACTAGAAATTGTAACCCCATTAATTTACAGGCACCTTAGAAATTAGTTGCTGCAACACTGAACTTAATTCCCCAGTATACAATTAGCTACTGCCCTAAAATGGGATTTGACTGTACAACCTCTTTCTTCTTAAGTGTTTCTGTGGAAACATCACTTTTTCCACTCTTATGCAGTACGGTTTCACCAGGACATTGTTCCAGTGTTGATTAGTTGAAGAAGACAAGGTGAAGGTCTAACAGTCCTTCAAACCTAAGCAGTCACGGTGGTGTTTCCTGTCATGTATCACATGTTCATCAAGTTCACTAATAGCCAAGGCAGTACGGACATGGTTTCTTTCAACCCAGGAGTAAGCTTCTTTCTCTCTACTGATCAACTCTGGGGAGTGCAGAGAACTGCTGTGTAAGATAGAGTGATGTGACAAAGTGTTTGCCAAATGGAAAAGAACAACTGTGATTGACTTATAGGAAATTACTTCCCAAATCTCCTGTCACCGATCAACACTTATAAAACCTATTAGAATATATCATCAAGCATTTTTTTTAAGACAACTCACCCCATGTTCAAAAAAATAACACAACCCACAATGCCTCACCCAAAGACCCCAAAGAAACTCTAAAAATTACCCAAAATCTTTTAAGTCTTTCAACAGAATTTAGTAGCTGCCTTTCCACACAGAAGAAAAGTCCTCTCTTTTCTAACCAATACATAGTCCTGGAACTGATAATTAGAAAATAAATCTATTCTTGCAGATACTGTTCACACTGTAATGTTCTAGGTATCCTCCATACCCCAGCTGAAATACCAAATTAATTTTCACATTAGCAATTTTTAATGAGGGTTGATTGGAGTTTGGTCACTGCTTTCATAATTACATAGGTATTTAGCACTTAATGAATGTCAGTGGAGCAGTTACTATAGTTCAAGACTTTGAGGCATTCTGTGATAACATACTATTTCGAATGGTGTAATTTACTCTTGAGTAAACGGAAAAATTTAAGAGATTCATAGTAGCCTCTCCGCCGACTTTCACAGCAGATAAATTTATGCTGATGTCTGGGGAATGGCAATCGGAGGGGCTTCTTTACATGGATCACATACATCCTAACCTGTTCTTCAGGATGGAGTTGCCAAGGACACCTATCTCTTATTTCCTTCTCTTGGTTACTTTTTAGTATTCAGCTTATTGTGAGCATTTAGAGTCTTCAAATTCCTTCCCTTAACCTTTTTCTCCTTCTGTCTTTCTAGCGCAGAGTATCTCTTTTGTTTATCGGGCCTAAATGCAACTGTGTTTCTTTCCTGCTCTTCCTAAACTCTACTTCCTTTGATGTCTAATACCTTCACCCCAACTTTATTTCATTTTCTTTCCTGTGAAGTTTCTACACTCTTTTCTTTGATCTTTCTCTCTGACTACTCCAATTGAATTTGTATCATCCAGTTTGACTTCCTTTGTATTTTTCAGTGAATTTATCTACTCTCTATGCCCCTCCACTTTTTCCTCTGCTCTGGGAATCAACTTCCATTTAATATGTGTGTGTCCTGCACAAGCTTCATGACTATCTGGGAGCACTGTATATACTACACTCCGGATTGCCTTAACCTTTGTAGCCAGTCTGCAAAGCTCCTGTTCCTCCTTTCAGTAAGATTATAATTTGTAAATGAAGGATTTATCTGCACTGAGCACACCTCATTTTACTGTTTCTGGTTTACTCTCAGATCCACTAAGCTTCTTCCTCAGTTATTTTTGCAATATACACTGTCTCTGAAGATCTACTAGAACTGCATCCAAAGTTTAGCCTCACTTTGTGTTTACTCAGGTTATTTCTCTTTTACAGAGTTGTTCTCTTCAAGATACCTTTTGCTATCTAGATCAGGTTAATGGACAAGCAATAATAAGTCATTTAATCTGTAATGTTAGCAGTGTTAAAACGTACAAGCTTCCCACAGAAGTGTTTTAAATACCCACCATGTAGGTCATAGCATGTGGGAATGGGATATCACAAACTCTTTAATAAAACAACTGAAGGCATTTTGCCCAGATTTTATTAAAGCATTTAAATAGATATTTCAACACCTAGCACAAGAATTTGTACAATTAAGGTGAAATTCACCACTGGGAAGAGAGCCACCTCTTCAATGCTCACATCCCAAGTAAGTGCTCAGAGACTAAACGATGACCAGGTCTTACCCTGGTATCCTATCTGGGAATTAATTAGAATCTCAAGTATTAAACTATTTATCCAAGTGAATTTTTCATCCAAGTGCAAGGTATGGTATTTAAAACATTTATAGTATTGCACTGGACTCTAGGATTGGGGCTGATTTCACCTGACTTTATGTCTACATCTCAGCAAGTCATCTAGCCTTATTTTATTGCTAATGGAGAGAGGAAGGCCCATCCATGACATGAACTTTGGGCCTGCTCAAATTTTATCTAAGCAATCAACTATACTGGTGCTTGCTTTGACAAGCAGTGGAACAAGTCAAGTGTTACAGGGATGGAGGATCAGAAAAAAAGATTGAGAATGTGGCCACCAGCTGATTTCTCACTGATCCCTAATTTACATGTTGCTTCCCTTAAACTGTTTAGTAATTTTGGTCTAACTTCAAAAAAATATTGAAGACAAAAGGTTAGCATATTAGTTGTTTTGTAGAATTTTTTAGGTCCTTCTATATATACATATATATATAAAGAAAATGTTGAGCACCTCTCCTGCATAGCCCTGTTTGCTTTAGCACAGGTCGGGGGTTTTATGCAGTGACTCCACCGCTCCCACAGCTGCTTTGCACTGTACCCCACCACTGCCACCGTAGCATTCATGTGCATGGCCCTTTGCACAGCAGCTGTCACAGAAAGCTGAGCACACAATCACTTCTTTCTGTTTGCTCCTGTTGTTGTCGTGATTTATTAGGTACAAAGGCAGGAGACTGGCCCCGCACAAGTCGGAAATAGAGTGTTTCACCCCAAAAGGGAGTATGGGGAATGGTGGGAGAGCTACAATGACCAGGTAAGCAAACAGCAAGTGGCCTTAGGTCAGTGTGATATGTCTGTGAACAAGAGGGGCAGCCCTGGGACAATGCCAGGCCAGATCCTCTGTCTGTAATTCCTGTGCATCCCATGTAGTATGTTTAGATAAGAAAAAGAAAAAAGAAATCACATGGCCACTGCTGATTTCTATGTTCCATCTGACTGCCAAAAAAACCCTGCACCATGTTCATTTGAGTGATCCGAACTACATGTCCTGTGTGATGTTGTTGTAATATGGTGCTCTGGGGAGGAGAAACCTTACATCTGACTTATTAAACCAGTAGAGAAGATGAAGAGAGACAGCATTCATACATGGAGTGAGCAGCTCCAGAACTCCCCTGGAATGGTGGTCCCGCTACATATTAGAGGTTACATTAGGTCTGATCAAAAGAGCTTTTAAAAAGAACTGAGAAAAACTGATTGATGAAAACATTTTCAATAAGAAAATGTTGGTCGTTCTCAATCAAAATACCTTATGGGAAAGTGCTGAGTTTTACAATGGTTTTAAGGAAAACTTTAAAATTCTTTTTAGAGTTCAGAACATCTTTTTCATAATTTTCTCCATTTAATTTAATTTATGCATTTATTTTCAATTTTATTTTGGCCATTATATATTGCATGACATTATACACCAATAGTACAATTTTAATGTATATCAAATACTACAATTTTTCAGTGATTAAACTCTTCAGAGATGAACTGTTTCAATATGGCCATTTTGATGTTTCTGTATTGAAATACTTCAAACTATTTAATTCTGTGAAATACTTGGAGATTTCGGATATCCATCTCATTTTGAGTCCAGTCAGATTTCCAAATGTTGAACTCTCCTATAGGACAGGAAATCCATTTCCCCAGACACCACCATCAATAAATGAATAATCTTCATATGTCACAGATTATTATAAATCTTTCATGAAACAATACACTTAATAAGCTTTGTATCATTGTGTTATCTTCTACTACAATTTAGAAGCATTTTGCTTACCATTTATTAAAAGTTTTATTCATTTCTTATCACCACCTGTAAGGTACTTATAAATGTAACCTTAGAGCACAGTATGACCAAATTATACCTTTACTTTTCCCAAGTGTTATATCACAGGTGAAATTTATCATTGCAGAAGGGTGTTCAGTGAAACACTTGCACAGTGTTATGTTCCCCTTGGGTACAACAATATTCACTCATGTACATAAAGTTATCAACTATAACACCACATAGCACACGTCTGGGGGGACTCCTGATGTTTAAGTAACATCGGGAACATTCATCACTGAGTGTTGTAGAAAATGCATACATGACTGTTATTTATTGCCAGCTGGGATTATGGTTTTTGTTTGTCTGGTGTCTGGATTCATTTTTTTCCTGCATTGCATTGCCTTCACTGATATTTTTTCTTCATTTAAAAGCTATCTGAAGTCACTATATAAGAGAATTTTGAAGAGAAGAGAAGTACATGTAAATGTCAAACAACTGTATTTTGTTGTACAGTATTCAGCTCTGTTTTGCCTGGCCATATATATACACTTGAAAAACTTCTTTTTTATATTTTATATCTTCACAGTGAAGAATCTGTTTGCATTCCAGACTGTAATCGATCTGAGTCAAGTAGAGAGGAGAAAAAGGTTCCTGTTAAAGAGGATGCTCTAACAGTCAAAAAGACTGGAAACTGTGTCAGTCTAATAGTTCCACAGCAAGACTGTCAGCTGCAAGACCTACTCAAACAGTTAAGAACACCTGCTGCTTAACAGAGAGTGCAATTGCATTTGATGGCTGTGTTTTGTTGTCTCCAGCCACAGTGTCCTGGCCAGTGGTCCTTGTCAAAGTTCATGAGCTAAGTAGAGTTGTCACTGAATAGTCCAAGAACATCCCAGAGGGAATGTAGATGTTGCAGAAAGGAAAGTAGGTGCCATTCTCCTGTCTCAGTAAGTATAAGAACAGTGTTAGAAGTTACTAGGATGGAGTGCAGAAGGAAAAAGAAAGGTGCAGGGGTCTGAGAATTTGTGAATAACAAAAAAACCTCTCATCATCTCAAGGGATGAAGAGGTCCCACAATACTGATCAAATCCCACTTACATCCCTTCAGTCTAAGAAATGTTGTGCAATTTCATACTGGGCAATATTTTTCAGCTCATGTTCTCAAATCCCTCATACAATATTATTTTTGTGTTTCAATCCTAGCGTGGATATTTTTCACATCAGGGCCTAACTTTCTCTGTATATTAGTTTTACAAATTACTTGGGATTTTTCAAGATGAAAAATGATATAAAAATAGAAGTAATGGGTACATTATGTGATGTTTTGTAAGGCTATTTCTGATTAAGATAAGTTACTACATCCTGCATCACCTGTAAGTATCATTCACATATATCTGATAAAATTAATTATGGAATGGGATGTTTTATGAGGCTTTCACAAAGCAGGCATCACAACAGCATTTTTTGCATCACAACATCATTTCTTGCATCATACTTTCATTTCTGCTTTGATTAAATGTAATTAATAAGAAACTGCTTAATAATTCACCAGACTAATTTTACTCCTGATAAGTCCCATGTACATAAATATCTCTGTAATTATTTATCAGACATGCCAAACACATGAAATTCCTCCAATTGTATGGTCTTTGCAGAGGATAGAATTCAAAACAACCCTAGACTTTAGAGACATAACTGGGAGACTTAAATCTTTCTGTGTTTTTATTTTTATTATTTTTTTCTGTTGTGTGGGGTTTTTGTTTTGTTTTTGTTTTTGTTTTTGTTTTTTTTTTTTTCTTGTGCACTGTTTGTACTTCCGATTTCAGGATCAGGTAAACTGATGGTTCCTATTTTTCCCAGTTTCCACTTCATACCTTTGGCAAATTATAAATGAAAAAAATGACATGGCATTGTTCTCTCTCCATCCTTTGACTAGGATGCTCCAGTGCAGCAGAGACATGCTCAGAGATGCTTGAGGTGACATTTTTTGGATGAGAATTGAAACCTAGAAACAGCTGCCTTAATTAATAATTGCAATAGAAGAAAGAAGTTACATCTGGTATCAAAATCATTTTTGCATTTTGGGTCATGATAATAGGTGTCCTAAGAATGTTTCATTTAGATACCAGACATTTCATTTCCCATTCTAATTAAGTACGCTGCCGAAACAGCTGCCAGCATTAGTGCTGCTGGTGGCTGCGCTGGGAGGACATTGGCAAAGTTTCTGTCCATCAGCTCTCTCTCACTTTGTAGTTTCTTTCATTCTTATACATTAAACCCATTCATATAAATGACAGTTATGATTTTCATGAGGAAAGGAAATATCAACAGACTGCAGTTTGTGGAGTAATATAAATAAACACCCTTGCTATTGTTAACAGAAAACAATTCTCTGTTTACAAAATATGTTGTTTACTTCTAGATCTCAGGATAGGACAAAATGAATTTTTGACCTGTATCATTCCTTTTTTGTGTTTCATTGTTGTTTATCTCCATAGAACAAGCAACATGGGAATAATTTAAGCTACATGACTTGAGTGATATATCACTAGCAGGTTATTTATGTGTGGCAGAATTGGCTTTCACCCAGGGAAATAAATTACATAAGCATCTGGAGGTTTCCTTAAAAGCTATTTAAAATGAAAGAAATATCAACAACATAAACCATAACAGTGACAGAATAGACCCAGTTTAGACACCCTAAGGTTCTGCATCCAGTTTTAGCCAGTCATCCTGGTTATCCTACAGTTCCAGGAGAAAATATGACTACTTCATACAAGTATACTGGAGTTCACCACTTCAACCACTTATTAATTTCACAGTTTTTAGCATGTTGCAAGGCACTTGCATTCTCCCAAGGATGAAGAACTTGGGTCACTACAAGCAAAATGTACATTGATCTGAGACTGGCTCAACTGACAAGACCAGAGAAACAAAATACACATGCACCCATGCTTGCATGCATCACAGACACACACAGAGATCACCCCTTATGAAGAGTCAGTTTTCAGGTAAATCTACAGATAGCACACAAATCATTTGCAGGCAGATTAATTACATCATTGAGTCTTTAATAAGGTTTCAGCAGCAGACTCTAAAAGGACAACAGCTTCTTACTCTTTATTTTGAATAACAAGAGTTCTTGGCAGGAAGTTATATGGACTGGATTAAGTACAGACATTTATCCTGTTTACCATTATCAGCTGCTTTTGTGGATAAGACAGGAGGACTTCTCCCTCAAAGAGAGGAGAAGGCTGTACTTAGGAAACAGGCTTGGTCTGCACAGTTCTGGAGTAATAACTTAACTATATCAGCTTCTTAAAAAACAAGATATAGTTTCAAGTTTGAATGCAACGTTGTACTTCAGCCATTGAAAGATCTAAGCATAACTTTGCTGTCAGCTCAATAGAATTTAAACCAGTCTTCTGAAATATAAACTTCATGCATGAATTTATAAAGACTTCTCACTCATTCCTTAATATATACATGTGAGGACAGGTTGTGAACAGATCATACAGATCTACATCAATTTGTTGTTCAGTATCTGTTTTCTGTTGAATCATTTCAAATCTAGAATCAGATATTGATATTGATATTTGATAAAGAACAAAAATTCCCTTAAATTTTTTCATTAAACCCTATAGATTACCCTTGTATTCCAGGTTCCACTGGTGAATAATACTATGTAGTTATGCATTCTAAGCTGTCTTAGAAAACAATAAATTCCATCCATTTTAAATGGATTTTCCTATTTCATTTAAAGATATTAACAAGAGAATATGTGACGTTTTCAAACTGCATATGCTTCCAGTACCTGACTCAATACTAGTCTCTAGGCACTCATCACTGGATTAATTTTAGCAACTTTGGGTAATTAATGAGAATGACATCCTTGTTAAAATATGAGTTTTCATCTTCTGTGACTGTCAATTCCCCTTCCCATTTTTCATTTCTTCTTCATTTTGAATGACCTCACAAACCACATTTGCTTTAATGATATCTGGCTAAAGAAACTCTGGTGGCAGAGCTATGCACCATCTCATAGATAATCATACCACAGAGCAAGAAATGCTGAAATAAAACTGCTATCTCAATCAAAACAAAGGACAAAGTGATATATTCTAAACAGTAAAAAAAAAAAAAAACAAAAAAAAACACATGTGTAAGGGGAGGGGAAAAAGTATTTAATATCCCTTATGAATACAAAACAAAGCCCTAAAGAAAAAACTTAAGTGACTCTAAAACTATTTAGTAAGGGAGGAATATGAGAAACAATACTAATTTTTATTCTGTCAGCAACTATACTGGACAACTGGACAACTGTAGAGGAAATATTTGAAATATGAGAGACTTCAAAAGCTCTCCCATTTATACTGTTTTCATTTCTTGCACATATATCATGGTAGGTCTAGCAGGCTGGGAAAAAAACTAGCTATCAAAATCAAATAAGCTTTTAGTAAAGAGACTGGGAAAACAGTATGAGTAGTTCTGAAGAAATTCCTCTCATATATAAAACTGAAGATAATTAACCTGTGCTGAAAAAAAAAAAAAAAAAAAAGAAAAAATGTGTCGTGCAAAAGGTTTGTTTTTTTTTTTTTTTTTTTTTTGTTTTTTGTTTTTTGTTTTTTTTTTTTTTGTATGTATGTTTGTTTGTTTGTTTTAGTATTTTGCTAACATTTTGGTTTGGAAATTATGTCACTGATTAATTGGAGTTTGATCTTCTCCAGATATGACTTGTATTCTGCTCTGCTCTAGTCAGTGCAATGTGCCAGCAGAAAAGCAGAGTGTGGTACAAAAAAGTGTATTCAGCCAAACTTAGCAGTGGAATTCTTTTGGGAGCTCAAGTGTAATTCTACAGTTCTCATCTGAGAAAGCCAAAAACTCTTTTGTAGAAAACTCTAAAATTTCACTGACCTAAAGTTTCCCATCATCAAAGTGACATGACAGAGCTGGGCATAATAAATGTAAACAATTCCATTAGTAGACATCATAGTCTATGTCTCTGATCCATCCTTATTTCTTTACTTTTAAATTGTGTGCATTGTGATGGTTTCCAGTTGACAGAGTAGCAATATGCAGTTAGAACTGAATCATAAAGTACTGTCACTGGAATTTACCCATAACCAAGCTTCAATCCAACATATGAAAACAAGTGGTGTTCCTTTCACAGAGGTAATAAATGATTGAACACCTCATCCAGTGTTAACTTTGTGGTAAATAGGTGCAGCATAAAGAAGTAAATAATACATTTCTGAGATAACAATTCCAATAACTACTGGGCAAACTACTAGGATTTTAACTACTGGGTTCATTACTTACTGATAAATTGCTGATTACTTTAAATTCAGTTTTTTATATCAATGAATTTGAAATTAATAATGGCCAAGTCTTTCAGGCTTTTGCACAAAAGTTACATCAAACAGCCACTAGGTCTCCTTTAGAGCCCTAGGATCTCCATGAGAGCCACTCATACAGCTTAATTACTCTTGGGTACAGAACAAAGGCAGTAAATGAGTGCATCAGCCAAGACTGACCCAAAACCAAATTGGGATTCAAGGTGGGTGATGACAGCTGCTACACTGAGTCTGTCAACTGCCCTTGCCCAGGGCTGGACACATCCCTAGATTTCATCTTTTTCCTTTCCCCAGGCTCCTCAGCCTCCTTAATAATTGTCTCCTGGATGATGACCAGGGAGGGAGTGACACATTCCCTTCACAGTCTTTTACAATCTGACCTTGTACACACTTAAAGTCGTAGGGTTTGAACATCTGTAATGAGCCAGTGCTTGAAGTCAGGAGGGGTGCTAGAGTATACCTCTTTCTTCAGTTGAACGTTTCTATTTGCTTTGGATAATCCTTCATGTTAATGGCATTTACTTCACCTCTGTGGCAGGCAGGTCTGTCACAGATCCCTCTGAGATCTGAACTCAGTAGGAGTTAGGAGACCCCACCAGGGAGGATATCCAGGACTGGAACTAGGCCCTCTCTTTCTGCCAGATCAAAGTCACAAGTGCCAGGTCACCCATCCTCCTGGTTCAGCTCAAACTTGGAAGGAGCTGGGAGGAGGTCTCATGGTCACTACACCTAACTAGAGGCAAGATCTCACCTGCAAAAGGATCCAAATCCTGCTCCTGCTGCTGGTACCAAGCTCCCACTGAGCTCAGGACTCAGCATGACCAAGCAACCGGGACTCTAAAACAGCTCTCAACATCCACCGAGTACATGTTCCAGTGGGAGGAGCACGCAATCCTCAGAGGCAACAGTTTTCCTCTGGAAGACGTTAGTTAGTGCCAGCTGCTGTTCAGCTCAGAATTGCATCCACAGAGATGCAAAGTCAATCTGATCAGTGCTACAGGTTAGTTTTTGCTTTTCCTGATTGCTCTGATTGAGGTACAGCAAAAGGAAGGGACTGTCTGAACAGCAAATTACAAGCCACCAGCTGTTCTGTATGGCATTTTGGGGGTAGGTGCATAATAGTTAGCTTCCAAGATCAGATAATATCCTGGTGATCACTGTAGCCCTTATATACTCATACAGATCATCTCCCAGTCTAGGCTCTCTTAAAATACCCAGTGGTTTATGTTGTGTTTGTCTACTGGATTCTGTCATGCTGCTTTTGAAGGCAAAAGCTGTTGGCTTATGTTGTGCTACATGATCCATCATAATTCTATGTAATGTAATCGTGGATGTGAACCCAGAAGAAGGTTTTGTTTACAATCAGCACATAATTTTTTTTTTAGATGACTGGAAGAGCTATTAAGCTGATAGTGCATGGCAAGCCTCCACATGAAGGCTGGTATAAAGTCATCTGTGTTTAGTAAAATATGTGTCTTCCAAACTGTTACACTGAAGGCTAACATGTGTGAGTATATCTATTTCAGGCTTAAAGAGCAAACAAACAACCAATTTGTGATGCACTGCCAGGGTCTCCAATGTGGTTGTCTACCCCAAAACGCTAAATGGCTGTACCAAATGTTTTGGAAACCAAAGTGAATTGTTTAAAGTTCTGTTGCATTTTATATATAAATCATTCTTATTTGTATGCGGAGACTGTTTTTCCTGTTAACATCATTTAAGAGTCATTGTCTGTTCCAGCTAGTAAATATTTCTAACCGTCTTTCTTGATCCCAAGGGATATAGGTTAATGTATGTATAAACACCAGCTCATCAGCATAAGGAAGATGTAAAAGGAAAGTAGTATTTTCATACTATGTGTTTATAAGTGCCACAGCTGGCTTTCCTTAGGTAGCAAGAAGAGAAAAATAAGCAACTATGATAAAGAGCAGGATATGATGGGATCTGAAGAGAAAGTACCCTAAGAGGACTTGTTTTGCAGGAGAGTGGAGCAAAGTGTTTATTGCTGTTTCCAAACCAGGTCACCATGGGGAGCTTCTTGTATGGCTTGTCCATTATTTCTTTCCTATTAGGAATATAGTTTTATCCTCTGAGCTGACCTGTAATTGAAAAAAATAAGTTCTTTAATGCAGTGGTGGTTAATTTACCAGGTACCTAGATGAAGAAGATGTCACCCATTAGAAGCATCTCTCCACCCACAACCAGAATAGCCCCTTTCCGAAGAGTATTGCTTCAGTACTTCCAAGTACTGGGATATAAACAGATTTTTTTTTTTTTCCCAGCCATAATGGACTTTGCTTCTCCATCTCCTAGTTTACCTCCTTGCCCCATACCCGGAATCCACGGCCATCACCCTACATCATGCTCCTTACCACTGAATATTCCCAGACCACCCTACGTACCTGCCCTCTGCAACCGAGCTAGTCCAGGTCTCTCATCTATTCCCTTCAATCACACACCTCTTCCTCACTCCTCCATGCATCCCTCAGTCTCACAGCCCCCTCTTCTGACACCAACAGAGAGGAAACCATCAAGCTGCTACCTCCCCCAGGATGGCCACTGCCTATGTCCCAAGGGCAGCAAAAGAGGGGTCAGCAGTGGCCATGAACTAACACAGAGTAAGTCATGGCTGAATGAACAAATGACCTGTGAAATGAGCTGGCACATTCTGCTTGTTTTCCTAGAACGTATAGGTATAAATGATAGATATAGATATATTGCAATAGATAAAGGTAGACATAGATGAAATTACAGTCAGGTTTATGATGAATATAAGCTCTGGGATACCACATACCCATGTTATAGGTACAGTGATTATATTTTTAACTTTGATGCAAGTTACCATCTTATCTAATTTCTGTTTACAGCTCTAATGGGAAATCGGTTTCCTGGGCCCAGAATGAGAAAAGCAGCAGAGGAGCACACCTTTGGCAGCGGTTGTCAATCCACATCAACAAAAAGAAAACCCCAATCAAACTGCAGTGATTAAGCCTTTTTCTAAAAGCACAGATAGTAGCCGACATAGTAGCAGTGCTACATTTCCTGAGGCCAGTGCCAAAACGCTTTACGATGTTTCAGAAGCTGAAGAGCAATACCCAGCTCAATATCGACCACAGACTCCCTCACCTATCAGCACCTTGAGTCACAGAACTGCCTCCGTTAGCCGAACAGAAGATGATGCCCCTACCTTCCAGTCAGACCCTCCTCAGAGAAGTAGCTCCTCTCAAGGATCCCTCATGGAGCAGATCAGTAGTGTGGTTACTCGCTTTACAGCCAATATCAGTGAGCTGAACTCCATGATGCTTTCAACAGCCACTCCAGGGACAATGGTGGCCACTCCTCTCTGCTCTTCATACCTGATTCCACGGGAAATTCAGCTCCCTACAACAATGACCACGTTTGCAGAGATCCAACCACTTCCTGCCATTGAAGTAAATGGCGCTTCACAGTCAGCTAGGAAACCTTCAAATGGCAGCATCAAAGAAGGCACTTCAGAGGCCCCAACAGCCAAGCAAGACCTTGAGGAGTTGGTAGCTTTAACTCCTCCTTCTCCTTTTAGAGACTCCATCGATTCTGGAAGTGCATCTCCCAGCTCTCCAGTTTCTGAATCAGCTCTCTGTATCCCATCCTCCCCAAAATATGACACACTCCTCATCAGAGATTATACTCAAAGTTCTTCTTCGCTGTGAATGTAGTTCAAGACAACGTTGGATCTCAACAACTACAAGCAAGTAGTGAGGGGACAGCCAAGCCTTCAAGATCTCCAGTGATTACACAGATAGAGAGGCATTGGGTCATCTTGTTAGAAACAGAGAGGAAGAAGAGGAATTACTTGAGAAGTGGAAACATCAGATTAATTATGCTGTTTTAAAGACAAAATGACTCTTGGCAGATTTTCGTGGCCTTAAAAAAACATGGGCTTTTCAGAGACACTGAATCTATTTTTGAGGGCTTATAAGGAGTCTGTTAAATCAGTTACATACCAAGTGCTTTGCTTTAGTATTACAATGAACCGTGTGTACAATATACGGGGCGGACGGGAAACTAGATTGTAAACAACTGTACAATGGTTTGTTTGTTTACTCTGATTCCTTACCCAGAAATGAACCTTGATCTTTTATCAAGAATGGAAGACCAAACATTGAATGTACATTTTCTAACAGACTCAAATCTGGGACCAACCTGTCAAGCTTTCTTTCTCTTTTTTTTTTCTAAGAAGATCTCAAAAAGCAGTAATGTATGTTCAATAACTACCAAACTTTTTGCTGAAGCATATTGTGTCCGTGATACATTACACGTGGATAACACTAAGCTGAGGCTTTGCAGTGAGTGACTGCAATATGGAGGGCTTTACAAGTGACTTCTCAACCTACACATTTGTTAAGAAATTCTCTTCTATCAGTATCAAAAATTAGATTTGTTAACATTGGATTCACCATCACAGCAACAAAACCCAAGGAAGATTTCCTGACTATTTCACCGTGTTGCCAACTAATAATGAAGTAGCAAAAAATATTTTCTGGAGTACTGTTTTGTAATTCCCTTATCAGGGCAAGTTGTTGAGGTGAATATTCTCTTTCTAGCAGCACTACCAAGCTATATTATAGCTGCACACCCTACTGAAATTAACACATTTTTATGGACATTCTTATGCTAACATTACTAGTTAAAATACTTATTTGGGCTCCCATAGTCTTTGCTTGTAAGGAACAGGTAAACACCTTAAAGATTTTCTCCATACTTTGAATGACAGAATTCTAGGAGGCCAATTTGGGTTATGTGAGTGGAAAGGTTGTCATAATCATAATTCATATGTAGGGAAAAAAAAATCTGTGTCAAAATCTGCTTAGAGGTGATTTAGCTACTCTTTAATAAGCAACAATTTTAAATTTCTTTAGCTGCTGATGCCTTGCAGCTGTGAACTGTGACAAAAAAAAAAAAAAAAAAAAAAAAAAAGAAAACATTCTTTCGAAGCAATACAGAGTAAACTATAAAACAGAGAAGACCTAATGAGATATGAACCAACAGAGTCTTTCTTTTTAGCAACTCACAGAAGAAGCAAGGGGATTCCTCATATTTTTTTCCTGTATCAAGGTAGTACAGTTTAGTGCACTTCATACTGTCACAGCACTTTTTTAATACAGGCAGGGAAGAGTTTTAAAGTTTGAATAGATGCTAAATAATTTTTGATAGGTATAGTTACATAGAACTTGTAAGTCAGGCCCTAAACACATACTGTATTGGTTCTCTCCTTCATGACATAGCTGTCCTCAGGTGTCAAAATTTATGGGCTTGTTTTATTTTATTTAAGGATAGTAGAAGTGGTGAGTGATGTACTTCAATTCAAACTTGACCTGATGTAGCCTTATATAGAAGACAGCCTCATGGAAGAGAGCCTTGAAATAAGGCTGCTACGTTTCATTTTCAAAACCTTTAGATATTTCTTCAAAGATAACAAACATTTTGTATTAAAAATTCATACTCCTTTTTCTCCCCCATATCCAAAATTATAAATATTTGATCAAACAAACAAACAAAATATGAAAGCACATTCACATACTTTTGCAAAGAACATTTTCTATTCCTTTGGGAAGCTAGTTTCACCATTGTGTGCTGCACCTCAATTTGCTGCTCAACATTTTAAAAAAAAATAATAGATCACTGAATATGGGCTAGCACCTCACAGAGATACTCCAGTGACTCTGTACATCCTGCACAATGCTGTGTTGTCCAATATCAATCTGTAGGCATGCTTATTTTGCCAGGTACAGTCATTTTCTAGCTATGCCTATAGCATGAACCAGCCGGTCACAAAACAGTTCTACTCCAGAAGGCAGGTAGATACACCCTGTCATGACTGTAGGTCCTTGTTGCTTATATGTAGTTCTTGCCTCCTCGCACGACTGATAAGCACAGACTCAGTTCTGTGTAGCTCTACGATTTCCTGACCAGAGCATGGTTTTGTCCTTCTGGTTCACAGTACTAGCATGTCTCATCATTCCCTAGATGCCCGTATCTTTAGGAGAAAAGTTCTTCTTTCACAGGTTACAACCCACATTTAGGGGAAGAGCATGTCCAATCAGTCTGTGACACAAACATTCTCATTTAGGGAGTCTAGACCACTTAAATGTTGTTCATGAGAGACTTGTATGATAATATATGTTTCCCATCAGTGCAATATTGGTTTGATATATACAGCGTGTACTGAGATAGTTAATGTGAATTTCAAAGGGATTATATTATTTTCTGTTCTCTTATATTTTAAGCTGTTGACCAATGTCCATACTAGAACATTCTTGACCTTGATCTTTCCCTAGACTTTTAGGTTCCCATTTTTGTAGTCTTTTATTATGTTGGTGGACACTTAATATTTATGTATTCCTGCTAAAATCTGTGGGCTTCACTGCACTGTGAAATAATCAACAGTGAAAATAAAGATTATACAGAAAGACATAAAAATATTTTCTTAAAAACAAAATTAGTAAAAAGGAGTGAAAAATGGAGTGATCCAGCTTAAATATACCTCTTCTGCTCCCAAATTGCAATTCTGCACAATCCTGGCCATAGCTATTGCTCAGAGGTTCTTGACAACTTTCACTATATTGCCAAGATGATATACGTATGCATGTGTGCACACCCGCACACACACAATGAAACCCTTGGTCTAACACCTGAACAGATGTTTTAAGAGGCTAAAACCTTAACATTACATGACCCAAATTTTAAACATTTCTGCTCACTCTCACTTTGGGAGGAGTCACACATCTTTTCTATATCCATTAGCCACAGCAGAAATTTTAATTGCACAAGGAACCAAGCATGGATCTGTTGAGATTGTACCTCCCTGTTGTCAATCTATCTCTAATGAAAGATAAGTCACTCTTGGTGACATTTAAAGAAGGCAGAATCCATTTTAATTGTACAGGCTGGAATACACTAATGTCACCTTGTATGATATGTTTGGATTTCAACAGAGGGAGGAAAGTTTTTTTGGGAAAGAAGGTTACAATTATGTAATGACTGTAGTAGTAATTCAGAGGAGCCCAGTGGGAGATTTGCAAGACTGGAAAGTCCTTTGATGGAAGCCATTGGGTTTGACACATGAAAAAATAAAATTATAAGTGACAGACATTATGATTTCATTATGCTGTTTGTATTGTAGTCTCTGTTTAGGACATTAAGATACAATGGCAAGGTTTTTCAGACATAAAAGCAAAGGTTACAATTATGGAAACTTTCCAATCTAACTAAAGAATGTGAAAATACTAACTGAATGGCTTGAATTTGCCTTCCAATTTAATGCTGCTGCCAGAAAGGGAATTTAAAAAGTTGAAACTATTGTCATTCTTGACCACAGAGACCTCAGAAAATCACTTGTTTCATTCGTGCTTGAGGCCAACCCTGAAGAGTGAAGGTGTAACCACCTCTGGAATCTGCTTTTGAAATAAAGTGAATAACTCTGGCAGGCGACTTTGGAAGAAATGTTAGCAATACTTAAGAAAAACTGTATTTTTTAATTGGCTCTGAAGAATAATTGCATGACTTTGGAGATGTGCTTCCTTGTACTTCTATCTGAACATTTGGTGCCTAGATTCATACAAATACCTTAGACCAGAGATTTTTAGACCATGGTCCACAAAGCACTTGCTGATGTTTCATAGGAGCCTGGTTGATCACAAGGTGCTGGATTCTTCCATTGATTTCCAGCTACAAAAGCAAAATAAAAGTTAAATGCTAATTAAAACTGAACTGTTAAAAGTTTTAAAAAACAAAACAAAAAAATGTTAGCTTGCTTGGATGTTAATTCAGTTGCTGTGTTTGCAAAAGGAAACTTTGTGATCAGAACTAGGAGAATAAGATCTCCAAAGACAGTAAATGTGAAGGCCAATCCATGATTCAGATTCTGGATGATGGTAGAGTTCACTTGGTGATGTTTTCTTTAGAGAGACCAAGACCAGACTGAAAGACAGCATAGCTGTGGGTGTAAATTCTGTAGAGGAAAGTGTACAACTTTGCTATTCTGCTTAATACATCATTTGTGAGGTGAGAGGAGAAAGCATGACAGCAACAGACAGCATACAAAAATATCAGGTCCTTAAGGAAATCAGAGCATGATGCTCAGGATTAATAATGTGACCATGACTTTTTTATTGTATTGGAGATCATTGTCAGTACTGAATGAAAAAAGGACTTCGGTGCTTAAAGTTAGAATTTCGGCAGAATTTAATACCTACATCTAAAACTCAATTTTAAAACCAACATTTAACAGCCACCTTACTCAGGCATCTCTTGTTGTATGTCTGCATATGCTCAGAACTACCCTGATCTTGATACATCTAAGGATCTTTGCACCTAACTCATGCTAAAACCCATCAGAGATCCAGAAAACAATGGCTCCTAGGTTAAATTCCTGTATATCCCATGAGTGAGTAGACAGCACACAGCACATAGACCAACAGGATCATATTCCCTACAAAATGGACTAGAAGTCATCCTTTGGTTTAAGGCTCTGGGTCTGGTTATACTGCTGTTTTTATAATAGCCTTGAGGTTAGAACAGTCAGACAGAAGGCAAGAGACCTAAATTCAAACTCTACCATTGCCAGAGGTGACTGAAATCTTCCTCATGGCTGGAAAGTGCTCTAATGACTCAGTGTTCATCTCACTAAGGTAACTTCACAAGATAGAAACAAATTCAAGAGTCCCAGAGTAGAAAAGGAACAGCTACTCTACACCCTGATAGGACATACATTTGATATAATTACGGATGGTATATGACCATTTAATATAAAATACTTCAAAAATCTCTGGAGCAGGGATAAGGTCAGTATTTTAACTACAAACAAGTGGAGACAACATTTTTTCTGTACTATGTATTGGCTCAAAAAAAACCTTAAATATCTCCCTGAAAAGTGCTTTAGGGGCAGGAGGAGAGGTTGTGCCCTTCCTTATTTCTGTGTCTGAAACCCTCTCATCTTCCATCTGGAGTTCTCAGACCCCTGCATGGAAAGGGAGAGTTTGACTCTTCTTGGGTAGGTGAAGGAATTAAACTTGGGGTTCTCACTTCTCTGAGACTGCAGAAAAAAAGGACTCATTTAATTTTCCTCCAGTTCCTTTTATAAAAGTGACAGATCTTTGAAACAAAAGGTATAGCCATATCTGGAAATGGATCCCAGTTGAAAATAAGTATTTTCTGTGCATTGCATTTCCATACTGGCTTGAGTAGAGTAATCTCAGTCATCCCTTTCCTTCTTGCATTTCTTTCCTGGGCACCTAACCCTTCTCACAAACTTCACAGTAAGGTTAGACATTTAACAAAGGGTTCTGGCCTTCACAGTAGAGCCAAATAGTATAAAAAGATAGGTATTAATTACACTGCATAACTTTAAGTGATGAAGTCCTTTACTAGCATTGGCACTTAACCTATTGAGATCAGTGAAATCACTCTAGATTAATATCCATGTAAAGAAAATCAAAGTTTGATAGTGGCCAATCAAGTCTACATCTTCGCTATTTGCTTCAGCAGAGAATGATATTGACAGGCTGTTCTTCCTACTTTATTTTGAATCAAACAGCAGATGTATTTTATTAAGCACATTCTTGAAGCAACTTGCTAGGTTTGGTGAATAGTACCTTCCCACCATTCTTCTTTATCATTGCTACCCTAGCAGGTATCCCAATGGGAAAATCGTACTTTGACTAAGTATGTTAAGAGATGTGAGAGAACATATCCAAAAATAAGAAACATGTCACAGTTTTCTGGCAGTTTCATGAATTTTATAAAAGGAAGTCAATATTCTCCATGTACAAGAAAATTGCTCATCTGCTACCCATTTCTGTGTGTACTGCATGTATTAAAGACTTCAGTTGAATTATCTGAATTATCTGAATTAACTTTTTTTGCTGTGTTCTATTATTATTCCCTCTGCTCAAATCTCTGCAATTGCCACTTACAATTTTATACAATGAAAAGGA